ATCTGCGCACGGACCAGTCACGTGCACATGCTCCCTTACACCAACCCCTCCTCAAGATCCGTCGCCTCGACGGATAGGCGGAGTGTAGGGTTCTGCAAACTCATATTCAGGATCGCCAGGGAAATAGAGGTTGTTGCCTATGACGCGCAATGACTGCGCAGGTACGCCCCCTTGTCGGGCAGTCTGCCGGTTACGCGGCCGGGCGTGAGCTACGTCGATCTGCATAGGAGAGCCGATCGGGGTAGGTGACGCGCTGGTCAGCGCCAACGGAGTGGCCATAACCACCGAGGGTGCGAAGGGAGTAGGGTAAGGCTGGGGGGTAGGAAGAGATGATGCCGCGGCCTGCATAGGTTGGGTAGTGGCGGCAGCAGGTTGGCGGGGTAGGGAAGACGGGAAGAGGGGGGAAGACAGTCGCGAATGCCCAGCTGGCCCACCAGTGGCCGAGGCCCTCGGATGAGTGGCAGGTCGAACCGCAGTAGTGGCGTGGGGCACCTGAGACTGGGTGTGGATCACGGTGGATGAGCGGTGCGGAGGGGCACGGTCGACATCCATCTTTGTGGCACGTGGTAGAGGCACAGGTGGGGCAGGAGGAGGGGGGGCAGGTCCCTCAGCAGACGGTGGCTGACGTTGCTTCTTCGCATGGACACGCTTGCGCATGAACCGTTTTCCAAGCGCAATAAGCGCTTCACCGATTTGCTGGTCGGTTCCCCGGATAAAGACCCGGCACTCACCAGGCGCAGCGCGATCAGAGTACGCGCGCAACTGAGCACCGGAAGTGTCGTGAGCTTGGTGGAGACCCTTGCCGCCACGACCCACGATATGCCCGACGGCCGAGTCAGGCACCACAAGCGTACAAGAGAAGCGCATGACACACCATTCTCGCGCGGCTCATGCATGAGCGGGAAGGGCTGGCGCGCAACACAGCGTCTTGGAATGGATCTGTCGAAGCAGCCAAGCCCATCCAATTGGGAAGACGGTCGGCAGCGCAATCGACAGACGGCCCAACGAGGGGGCCGGGACCTCCATGGAGAGCCAAGAGCGGACGACGCGAACGAGGGCACACCAGTCACTGGGACGGGGGCCGTGGTGGCGGAGTAGAGAGCGGGGCCATGGCAAAGCTCAGCCATCCGAACGTAAGCCTGAACGCTGGCATAGGTTGGGGACACCCAAGAGGTCCAGCGGATAGAGATCGTAGGGAGACCTTGACAAGTGACAGCCCAGAGAGGCTGGAAGGCCATAGGCTCAAGGTCTCAGAGGAAAGTGGTGCGTCCACATCCGGAGAGGTCTCCGATGGCATTAGTGATCCCTGATGGTGATTCCGGAGGGACTTCCAGAGGGGAGTGGCCAAGGAAGTCGAAGACTGGGGATTACTGGATGTGGGATGTGGTGCAGGCAGTGGAGGGAGAGCGTCAGGGTGCGGAGACGCGGAGACGCAAGCGGAGACGCGGCACTTGATGGGATCAAGTGACGGCATCAGGGTTTCCCCTGACATACAGGTGCAAATAATGGGGGCCAATTCTTCCGAAAATCAGGGGCCCTGATTTCCATGCACATGACCTAGAAACTACCTTATTTGGTAATTTCCAAATTGGCTGGCCACATTCGGCGCCCCTTTTCCCACAAAAAAGTCCTGCTTTGGGGCCCGTTTTTGCACAAATCCCCAGTGTGATTGCATAAATAATCTTTTTTTCCTAATTTTTTACAAACAAAAACTTCAGGTTTTGTCCAATGAGAAAAGTGGGAAGTTGGTTTCTTTATATCATCGGCAGATTTCAGACAGGGCTCTAACTGTTTATTTTTTGGTTTATCTAAATCATAAAATAAATAGAAATGGTTAAAAAATGTTTGGAAACTGTTTATAAACATTTATAAAGGGTTACATCATACTAAGCTTGTCCAGCAATAAATAGCCTTCAAGCACATCTTGGTAAGCATAGCTTGTACTGTAACATTTTATTCAATTTGGTGGTCATGCGTCACGCCGGCCCTCTGTCGTCAAAATATTTTGGCGTGTTACAGGTAACTGGTCAAGGCGCTGAATGCAAAATGGCCATGATGGCATCAAATACTGAAATTTTTCACCAGTCACACTGCTGACCTGAGGGCGCCGAAAATTTAATTTTGGCGCCAATGTCTTGTGTGGAAATGTTAGTATCAACACATGAGTATCTGTGCCAGGATGCCAGGAACCACATTGTCAGTACCGTGTAGGGTGGGCCTATTATGATATTACTAATGCCAAATGCATGATAATAATAATATAATATCCTAATATCCCCCTCTGCAGCATTATATACCCATGATATAATACAATAATGATAATAATAGTAATAATAGTAATAATAATAATAATAATAATAATGATAATAATGATAATAATGCAACATAATATAATAATAGCCAGCACTATGGAGCCTAAATTTTCAGATTTACCTCTGCATAGATCATTTATATAAATTAAACATCATAATAACCTCTGCATGGTTAGTCACACTGGGGTTTCAGCGAGAAAATGGTCCCCTAAGCAGAATCTACATATAAGAAATAGTAGTCCAATACAAGAGCCTTTTTTACTCCATTAATTTATATGCAATAACAGTTGCAAAAAATTGTATCTGATTTACAAGAAATCAAGTAACCTATTGGATTATGAAATATAGCATATATTTTGACTACCCTCTTCCTGATCATGTTTGGTAGACAATAGGTACACCTTATTCGAGCTCAAATATGTGTCAAAAATAGTGTCACATTATTATTCCCCCAATTTGTCATACATACAGGTGATTTGTCATATATAATGACACTTTGCCACTTATTTCTAATATATCAGGTACACTTTAGTGCTGTCCCTAATTTTTGATATATATATGGTCTTATATCTTGTGGCAGACTTCGTGCATTTATTTGCTACAACTTGTAGCCACAAAATCGTCAGCTGATATTGGCTTTAAGTTAAGTCCAATCTGATAACTTAATCTATGCCCCAATTTCTTACAAATCAAGTCTACTTTCCAGGAGTTTTATTTGTTATCTTTCCAAGTTGTTGAGATATACTTCTGTTTTGTCCACTATTTATGATAAATAAATCATACTTTGAGGCCCATTCTTGGGCAGAAACCCCAGTGTGGGTATAGCCACATAACCAAGGCTCCCAATACTTACTAGTACCAATCATGATTAATGTCAGCTAAAAGTACTGTACTATTTTACTCAATTTGAATGGCCAAAATGCTGTAACATCTCATACAAAAATCTCAATTCGTATGATTTCCTTATTAGGCAATTCTTGGTGCCAAAGGCGCCCGAAAAATCGAAAAATTACCCTTTTGGGACGCGAAAATAGCAAATCCGGCATGACATGCGAAATTTTTCATATAAAATATAGTCAGTGTGACAGGTGACATTCAAAACGAGTAAAATACTACAGTAGGTTTAGGTTCTACTTGATAAGAGACTGTATGTCATGATAGACTTATAAGATATGGTCGAGCCTAGTAGCACTGTATTGAAGGAATATTGACGTGAATGGCTCAAAGCCCACTCCTCCCTAACCTATTCCTTGCACCAGATACCTTTTTGACTGCTAGTGTCACGGCCATGTCACGGCCATGTGACATCATGTTTGGATCTTGGTGTGGATCAGATCCATCTCTTATGGCTTACTTCGTCGTTGGTTATCACTAAGGCGCAGCACACCGTTTTTCCGCCAATCCGACTCGCCGTGTCGATCCCTAGGTTACCCGGCCAACAGATCACACGCTCGGGATGCTCGGGATCGTCGGGCGACTTTGACGTGCGCCAAGAGCTGTCAATAGGCGTCTCCGCGATCCGTAAGTACTCGGCCTGGGCCTCTAAACGGCATTGCACTGGCAGTTGAGCCCTTAAGTATACCTACCTCTGGAACTGACCAGAGATCTGTAGCGTGTCGTCCTACGACGACGCCAGCGGGTCCAAAATCGCGTCTCACTCTGGGGATCTGCAGGCAATCAGGCATGGGTTGATCGGTGTCCATCAAGCGTGGTGTGTTAGCAATTAAGCGCTGGGATGTCCGGTTATATAAAATACCCACCGTACGTTAAGAATGGCGCTCAAGTATGTGTGCGTGCCGCCCTGCGGAACCATGTCTCAACCTGCCTTTACGTTCGTGTCCAGTTTCTCTTCGTCTCCCCCCCAGCAGCAGCACCCCAACCAACAGCAACCACAGCGGCAACGCGGTGGAGGCAACAGCAAGCAGCGGACAACGCTCGCGTGCATCAACTGCCGGCGGCGAAAGCGCAAGGTGCGTCCCTGCCTCGTCGGTACTTCTCCCCGACTTTTCTGATCGCGCTTTATAGTGCACACCCTCAACGAATATTACATCCACATCCTGCATCCGCTGTGAAATGCAGCACCTCGTCTGCGACTACCCCCATGATCCAAGCCTAGCCATCGACTCTGAGCCACCGCTGCTCATGCATATGCCACCTATGGAGCCCCACCCAGACCCCAGGCAGCCTGCAGAGCCGCTACCCTACACAGGCCCACCGCCGCCCCATACGGCGCCGCGGTACTCCAATGGCGCGCCATATCCCAATCTTGCGCTTGACCCCGAGCCTCAATCCTATGGACTCGGCTGGGAGTCTCAGTCGGTGGTCGTATGGAACTCGAATGGGCCAAGTGGGTTTGAATAACAGGCACTTGTGTAAGGAGTCAGATCAGCATGGATTTGAGGCACCGGTCGATGTAGTCTCGGTAGATGCGACTGGGGAGATGACCCTAAATAAGGCCCATCATAGTTCTCAAATGTGTCATCGACGCAGTTTTTCTTGATGTGGAATCTGAGGCCGACGGATCATCCGACGGGACAGTTAACGCTCTCGCTGAAGCCGTGGTTATGCCATTGAATTTGTAGAACGCTCCTGTTGAATTCGTAAATGTCTTGCGTCATTCATAGGGAAAAAATGAATTAACACTGTATTAAACAAACCCTAAACCAGTTCATAACATAAATCCTTCTCTCACCACAACACACTAACGAACGGCGCCGCCCAGCCGGAGGGAAGCACAGGTGATACGAGAGCCTGTAACGCAACGATCCACCAGCCGCGCCAGAGCACGTGTTTGCCCTCCTCTTCTGCGATAGCGCGAAGACAGGCAACGACCCCGGGGTAAAAATGGTGTGCATCACCATGCGCAGGTGCGCTACGCAGGGCGACAACAGGCTCGAGAAACGGCGTGTCGATTAAGTGCGGCATGCCCGCGTGGTCAGACTCGAGCTCGGGCGGTTCGGTGACTTGGAGAGCTAGCCGAACACGAGCGAGACGAAGTGGCGTGACGAGGAGCACGAGAAGAAGGCCGGAAAGTATCCTCGCTGCGATGAGAACGAAGAGATACTTGTAGTGTGCATCTGCCATGATATGCGGCAGAAGGTCGTAGGGGTATGTGCCAGTGATGCTCGTTATGATGTACTGGGTGGGAAGCCCAATGACGGCTGCAATGGCGGCCAGAAGAAAAGCGACCATCGCCATGCCCGGAGCAAGGTAGAGCAAGCTTGGTCGACGGCGTTCGGCTGGAGAGAGTATGGCGGGTAGGAGTGAAGTGAATGAAAGTGAAAGAGGATGGGTTTGAGTTACGATTGCGCTACATATGGGTATCAGTATCAAAGTGCGTGGGACAACGACTAAGACGCACCGAAACGTGACTATCTGCATCGGAATCGCGAGAAGGGCGGAAAGAAGTGGTACGAAAAAGAAGGAAACTGTGGAAGTTATGGGTTTCCTTAGCCTGCACTGGATAAGAACGTACACAGCTCTTCGACGACGACGATGTAAGCTGGCGGGGCAGTGTCTTCGTCGTACAAGTATAGCCAGTCCACAACTATTGTTGCTGGGAAATGCAACAATGAAACGAATAGCGTCGTCAGGACGGCAGGGGCTGCCCATATGTTCATAAGCACCCGGAATTCAAGCTGAGGTATGACTCACTGAAGCCCTTGTAAAGTCCCGCCCAGCCCTAGCCACCAGTCAGCCACAGGCTTCGCTGTTGGGAAGTGACACACCTCGACCGTATACACTCGCCGCATCACCCCAAAGTAGCTGCTGACCACGGCGTCGGACGGGGGCGTCTGGTCGTCCTCAGGCAGCTGCAGCTTCGTGGGCGTGTAGTTCGCGCGGTAACGCACGAGTGTGCTGAGGAAGGGCATCCCGATGCCGAGTGTCAGGAGTGTCCATCTAACACCCAACAGTGAGGAGGGAAGCAGGATGGAAGAAGGAGGGACTGACCCCAGCGAATTTACGCCCTGCCGGATGGCCTCGTCGATGTCCATGAGGGTGGGGAAAGGGGAGGAAAAACGGGCGGGCACAGCCTCCTGGTGACGTGATAAGCGCGTCAGCAGACGATGCCAAGCATTCAGATCTTGTGCCTGAGTTTGTGGAATTGCCAGTCAGCGCGGACAGTCTACTTACATTGTACAGATAGCGAACGTGCATAGAGCTCGAAGTTTTGCTGAGCTATCGACGCAACGCGTCGTCCCTGACGACGGAGATTGATGTCAATGATCACATAAGCGACTGCGGTTTGTCTTCTCCCTCTATGGGCGGCTGCGCGAAGCACTCATACACGGGGATTTCAACGCCGAAAAAGAGCGGAAATCCGGACCAAGATGGTGCGTGCTATGCACATTCAAGTTGCTCTGGAAGTCTAGAAACTCCGGTCGGCGGTGTGGAGTTCGAGTAGTTACATAACCGTTCTTAGGTTTATTCTGCCTAGAGCTTGGGCCTAGGTCTTATGGAACCTTCCAATAGGAATATCTTCCCGACCAAGCCGAGCACTGTACCGCAAGGGACCGTCGAGAAGCCTATCGCGGATATGGCTCTGCGCTAGGTCTTCCCTCTTGGGAACTTCACTGTTGATCAGATAAGCAGATGTCGATTCCCAAAGAGAACTAGCTGCTCTTGTAATCGCCACAGGAAATTCCACTGGAATTCCGCTCGCCTCCGCTGTGCTATTGATGCCCGTCTCGCTTTGACGATATAAGAAGCCACGCGAGCCTCTCCCTGATTCGTTATTTCCTTCTGCCGTGCAGCTGGCTGGTCATGCGCGCCGGAGTCGTGCTTTCTGCGTCACTGCCGGGCCTCGTCGTCGTCTGGACAAGCGCTGGTCGTACGGCCCTGCCCCACACGATGGACTGGGGAACCTCCACCTTGAGTGGTATGTTTGACGGTTTCACGCTCCGTGTAGTCGATGATCACGGCCTCTTGCAGTGTTGCCATCCCTCGTCAAATCGGCGCCCTTCAGCCAATCAAGTTACAGCACTAGCAATACCGCAAACGCTTCAAGTTGGCAGTCGGCTGGTACGAGCTTATTACCTTCGTGCCACTGGCAGTGTCCTTTATTCGGCCGTACGCATAGGTGGGATTCAAATACAGTCGATGAGCTCGTTGGTAGCAGCGTCTATCGCGCCAATGGCTCCTTCACCGTCGAACACGGAGCCCATGGCCATCGGCGTGGATACCAACGCGCCCTTGATTGATTCAAGCCATCCCAAGACTTGCCCCGCCATATTCGCTCTCGCCGGCGCCACCGTCGCTTTCTTCTTCCTCGCAAGCTGGCTGTGCGGTTATGTCTGGATCTTGCGACGCCGAACCCGAGCATTGTCACTGGCTCCGCTGCTTCCGACGGCGTTGAATAACGACTGTGTTCCACAGTTCTCAGGGAACCACTGTCAATCGGTCGCTAGCCAACTTTTGCCGTCGCGGCGCAGCACGTTCGCTTGGGAGCACCAAGCCCGCATCGACAACGCACAACTGGCCGTGGGGGAGCGATACACCCTCCTCGTCCCCCGCCGCCCAACTCTGGCGCGCTTGGACGACCCCACTGGTCGGCGATGCCGCAGCAGAGTGGGGAGACGGAGACGCCGCCGGATTCGTCTCGGTGTCGCCACTACAGCAGGTGGTCATTAGAGACGTTGCCGCCGTATAGCCGTGTGTAATTTCTTGTGAAATCTCCAGTTGAATAGTTGAATATAATCATGATCGAGCTGTCTTAACTTAGGCAAGTCGCAAAGCCTAGAACCGGAAGTCGGCCGATCGCCGTCATCGGATCAGTATCAGGATCGTCCATCAAATGTCAAACAGAGTCACGCGACGGCTATCGTGGTTGCTTCTGCACCATCACCATCGATTCGATGGACGCATCCCTGCAGCCGTCGAAGCTCGCGGGCTTGCCGTCCCTCATACGCGTAAGCATGTCCCTTCATTGCTGACCGCTGTTCAGTGACTCGTCGGGTAGAAACATGCAGAAGCGGCAGCGAGGGGCTCACAGCCCAGTTTCCAGCGGATCATGAAGAATCTTGTCAGCTTGAACCAGCTCTCTTACAAGGAGGTCGGGTTGCTGCTTCCCGTGTTCTATAGCACGCTGGACACCCAGCCGCTCGCCAACCTGCGAGAATCGATGGCGGCGGATGATGACTCGGAAGCTCTCGCAGCGGCTGGAGAGCTTGTGTGGCGCGTCAGAGCGTCAATTGATGCGCTCTCATTGCTGATGTGGTACAAGGGGATTCCGGAGAGCGCCGTGACGGAGTTATGGGCACGACTGTGGCCGTGGATCGACTTGATCGATGAATACCTGGAGGCGCTGCCTGCGCTCGCCGTCTCCGACTACCCGCTCCAGCACACGCACGTGCTGATCACGAGCGTGATCTACTGGATCGGGAAGCTCCAGCCATTCGACACCCCAAACGACATTGCCCGCGTGCCCGGGTTCTTCCGCGTCGTCGCGCGTGGCTGGCGCTACCTCCTGTTTTCACCAGACCCAGCGCTGGCGCGCGAGCACGCATGGAAGGTGGTCATCATCATGAACCGGCTCGACCGCTATGCCCGCCTCGGGCATATGCGCGACATGGTGCGCGGTGCGGGCGGCAGCCACTCTGACCTGGCTGCGCTTATTGTGGGCCAGTTTGCGCATGTGTTCCCTGCGCCGGATACCCCCGTCACCCAGACGACGGTCGAGGGCATTGCCGGCCTTTCGCGGCTGATCGCGAAGGGTATCTTCCCCACGGGCGAGCACAACGAATCCTATGTCGAACTGGGGGATGCGATGTGGGCCCTCAAGTTTGGTCGCCGGTTGACATATGCTATGCGCTCCTTGGAGTCGTGTCGGGTGCCTGCCACCCGCGACACAGCGTCGATGCTCTCAAACTATTACTTTGGCCGGCTGGCTCTCGGATTCGTGGGCCCGCGAGGGAGGGAAATATTCATCGAGGCCTTGCGTGCGGGATATCTCCATGTCATCCTCAGTCGCGCAGCGGACAATGGGCCGCATAGTTCGGCAATTATGCTGCGAAACCAGTTGCAGCAGGTACTTCCGCAACTCACCGTGTACCGCTCTGTGGTAAAGGTGTTGCGTACGGCGTCGGGGGAGATAATCGAGCGCGAGCGGGGCGAGAAGGGCACCTGGACGGAGGACATGCGGGTTGCGTGGACTGGGTTTGGTGCGATAGCTACACAGAGGAAAGACTTCCTCGACAGGTACGAAGGGATGAGCGAAAAGCGGCTGAAGATGTGTTGCAACACTGCGGTATGCTTGAATTTTGTGGCCGTCTAATTGCTAACCTTTTTCAGTGCGGAAAATTCGTCGATCGAGCGTCGATGGGCAGCTGTGGAGGATGCCGTTCAGCTGTCTACTGCTCCCGCGAATGCCAGCGCGGCGACTGGCTCGCCCATAAAGCCATCTGTCTCTCAAAAACCGCGCCACCGCCCAGCCTGCTGGACCTCACACGGAATGACCGCTCCTTCCTTAAGTCCCTCCTCAACTACGAATACAGGGTGAACCAACAGCAAATCGCGATGGATCTCCTCGCATATTTCTACACTCATCCGGCCCCCACCTCCCTCCCGTGTACACTATTCGACCTTTCTATTGGCTGGTCTCAGATCCGCGTCGCAGCCACGCCACCCACCGGCGCGCTGGGCCCGGACGACGGAGCTGCACAGGCGCTGCGGGCCGTCTCTGGTCGCGCGCGTCGGTCCGGGGGCCGTATTCAGCTGCACTTCGTCGGCCTCAACATGGCCGCACACGGTGATACCGTGCAGTACCGCCTCCGCTGGGAACTCGTACCGATGTACTCCGCAAGTGCGGTTCTCATAAGCGGTGTGCGGACCATCGCTGCGAGGATACGCGCCATCGCAAAGAAACAGGGGAGGACAGCGAGCGGTGTGCCTGACCTGACGCCGTACAAGGATGACGTGAAGCACTTGTTGAGGTTTCAGTTCACAGAGACGCATTGAACCCACCTGCAACAAAAAGGTTATGACAAGGCCATCAAAAGAAGGGTTGGAATTCAAGGACACAACGACTCTATAGAACTTTATACCTAAAATAATGCTAGAACAACATGACCAGATTCGCAACTGTATTTGTTAACTAATAGACACTATAAAAAGAGGATGATATTTGACAGAAATAAAAGGTCTCTCTCAAGGTATTACATCTGAACTATATGTTAGCTCCACCACTATTTGTGGACAATTATATTGTTCATGCCCCGTTTTGTGTTACAAAATGCAGCATCAGTTTTTAGACCTTGATTTGTCATACTTATATCATGGTAATTAGTCACTTATTTCGGACAAATTAGGTATGTTTTAGTATTACACTGGATGACATAATATTTTAGTGCAATAATTTCCTGCAGATTGTGGCCATGAAAAATGTATAACCCATGAGAGCTTAGTATGAGTTGGGTCTACTCTCAAAGTACATGTTACTTTATTTATTTATCAGGGTTTTCAAAATAAACTTAACTTTGTCACACTACTGTACTATTTTAATCAGGTCGTCAGCCACATGTCACATGCCAGCAGACAGTGACAAAAATATTTCATCAGTCACAGGGGTCTTAGTAATAATCTGACAAAAGGTTTCAGCCGCTGGTTTGACATTTTGGCCTGAAATTGGTCTTGAAAGTTGAGCACCCCTGCATTCCTTTTTCTCTTGTAGACAAACAAATTGGTTGTTTCAGAGATAAAAAAAAACAACTAGTTACAATTTTACTCTGATTCAGGCATCTGTATGGGGCTAGGGATGCTAAGACTAAGTTAGGGCTTGGTTTTTAAAGATTTTGAAGGTTATCAAAAAGTTCTGAAACCCTATTTATCAACCGGTTTTTAGGTTTCATAAACCAACTGAGCTCATATGAGCTCATATGAGCTCATATGTTATAATAGACCTATAAGATATGGTCAAGCCTACTAGTAGTATGTAGAAGCAATATTATTGTGAAGTAAGTCTAGTTGACCAGCTTCTTTCCTTTTTGGATTCTTATTAATATCAAACCATAAAACAGGGGTTTCCAGCCAGGCTGTTTATAAACATATAAAACAAGGGTGTTTATAAACCGGTTTATACACACCCCTATATAACCCAGGCCCTAGGATAGTTTACAGCATGTGAACATGGTCCAGAAGAGGTGACAAAAATTTCACCTATAGCTCACTGATATCCCCTCTAATTAGAGGCGGAGACTAGGATGCTTTATCCCCACTATCTCCGACAACCACCGCCCTTCTTCATGGTGCCAGAGGCACCAGCCACCCCGGCCCCGCTGTCGTCGTCGTCGCTGTTGTGACCTGGATGAAATTCATCACAGACGATCACCACCCACTGTCATCGGGTTGGAGATATCTTCCCACTGGCCCGGCTAGCTCCCCGCCGCTGTTATTGACCTTCCGACATTGTCCTCGACAACGACAAGCATGGTAAGCACAAATCTTTATTAAAATCCATCAAACAAACTGATAATCTATAATATTTGATGTATCTACATATTGGTAATGTCCTCGCCATCACCTGTCATCTGTGCCCTCCCCGCCGCCTGCCCGACACGATCCCACCGCCCCCAACCCGCCCCCGGACTTTTTCTGATCAAAAACAGAAAAGTTGCGCAATCAATAGAAATTACTCGAGGTACAAGTGTCTTATAAAAATATGTAACCGTTAGAGAGTTATGAATAAAATATTGTTAACTCATGAATAAAAGTTGTTAACTCATTCGACTACCAAGGTATACTTTCTACAAGGTAGATTACTATTGTTTCAGCTTTTTACAAGGATATTTAACTCCCAGATATGGTTTTTTACAACTGAGGGAATTTCTTGGAAAGTGCTTTGAATGAGGCTGTCAAGCACTTCAATCAATGCTACAACTATTTTAGATCTGCTGCAATACTATAATTTACCCCAAATCTAGTACACCTATAACATTTCTCCCTTTCAACTTGAGAGTACACAGAGCTGGGGGCTAATCAGGGATACAAAGACCTTCTCAAAGGTTGTAAAGCCTTCCTTACAGATGGTCTACAGCCCAAGATATCTACTGCCCTGTGAATAATGAAATTAAGCCATATTTACTTCTCATACAAGTGTGAAAATAGGTCAAAATGTATATGTACATCCCCACTCTCAAGGACACTTTAGATCAGATAGGGAAAGATATCAACTATACATTCTATCAATAGTCCATGTTATACAGTTCTTGGTTTATAAAATCATATACAGTAAGCCCTGGCTCTAGAACTGAAGTTGTAGAGTCACAGGCACTGGTACCTGCAAAACAAGCCCTTAAGCTTCTATATATATTGGGTGGAGATGTGGAGATCTGGCTTGAGTTTTGCTAGATCAAGAAAGAGTGATGGTCCATCAAAAGATGTTGGGGACACTATCTAGGACAGTAGCTGGCATGGAGAGTATTGGTTTGAGTTGAGATTGCCTTAGAAAACTGGTTGGTAAGATGTTCCAAGCAGCCTGAAGGATCTCAGCACTGCATATTAATGTCCTTGGGCTCATAGGGGCTCTACACTGCTTTGGTCTTCTTCTGCATGTTTCCTGGGCAGTTAAAGGTGTAAATATGAATGTAGTACCATCTTAAAGCCTTTGTTAATGATAAACTAAGTTCTACTCCTTGTAAGGGCAACCCCAGAGGCCTGAGATCAAGGTCCTAGCAGGGGAGGATCCAAAGCGTGAACATTGGTAAGCGAATACAAATGAAGCTGACCGAGCAGGGGAGGATCCAAAGAGAAGAAACTCTGAGGGTCTGCCTGCTAGGTAGCTGACTATATACTGCTTGTCCGTAGCTGCCGCTGTCGGGCACAGAAGGCTTGGGCAGCATCGCAGGCGAGGTCCCAGGGCGACTGTCGGGGGGTGTTGACGGATCGGTGATTGTGCGGGCGAGATGGAGGGCCAGACCGGAGTCGGAACCGGAATCGGACCGGAATCGGGCGCGTCTCCGGGCCGAAAGGGAGTTTCCCCTGACACTCCTGTAGAAAGAACTTATTTGTAGTGAAAGGAGTTAACAACTTTTATTGGTGAGTTAACAATATCTTAGTCATAACTTATCAACCAGTGCATATTTTTGCATGCTACTTATACCTCAAGTAATTTCCATTGATTATGCAACTTTTTTTTTTTTTTTTTTTTTGATTGGAAAGTATTGGGGGTGGGTCGGGGGCGCCGGGATCGCGTCAGGCAGGCGGCGGGGAGAGTGCACATAGCAGGTGATGGTGATTATCTCACCATTGTATAGGTATCATCAAATACTGTCCAATATCAATTTGTTTCATGTAATTTGACGGAGATTTGAGCTTACCATGGTTGTTGTCGAGAACGACGTCAGAAGGTTGTTGACAGTAGCGGGGCAAGGGGGAAGCGTGATGGCATCAATGCACATGACACTGGGCCTTAATTTTTTTTTTTTGTAGTGAATTTTTTTCAAGTATTACAGTCATCTACCGGCCAATGGTACACCCCCCCGTTTTGGTACACCTGATTGATGTGCAGCTTTTTGACCCTCAATCACAATCCTGCAGCCCCCAAAAAAATATTTATTATTGGGTAGCATCCTATGAATACACACATGAGTTTTTGTGTCAATATGTGCACTGTGTCCCATGCTAGAAATTAATCTTTTTGACATTGTCCTACCCCGACAAAATCCCCACCCTCCTCTGTGGGCATATTCAGATTCTTTTGGTGTTCAATTGTAAGGGTTGTCAGTATATGCCTAAAACATGCTTTGAACCATACCTAGATGCTGAAACACGCCCAAAAACACGCTTTGCAAGAACATGTCACAAAACAGCAAGTCCACGAGTGGCGTGACAGACCGCGTTTTCTCGCATCAATGGTCGGCCGCGCTGAGTCTCAGTCAAAGAAGGCTCGCCGACAGCGCGAGGAGCACGACCGTTGGATGACACTTGCTGTTCGGCACTATCATGCGGAGCAGGCCCGTGTCGACATCCCTGAGCACGAAAAAAAGGGCTACCGCAAAATTTGCCAGCAGCTTGAGGCGGAATACGCGCTCAGATACAAGAACAAGATCACAAAAAAGAAGAAGCAAGTCCTCAAACTTGCCTTCAATACTCTGCGCCGCTGGGTGAACGACGGGACTCCGAAATCCAAGTCTAATGCCAGCCGCGGCTGGCTGACAGAGGAGGAGGTCGAAATTATCATCCACTATCTCCTCGAATGCGCCCGTCGTGGATTTCCCTTGACACATGGACGTCTTAAAGAGATTGTTGACCTCACCTGCCGGGCACGACTCGGAGATGCATTTCCTGCAACTGGAGTTGGCAAGAACTGGACGCAGCGCTTCCTTGAGAAGTACTCCGACCGGCTCAAGACCCACTGGGCCATGGACCGCGAAGACAAGCGCAACCGGGCAGTGAACCCAGCAACGCACAAGCTATGGTCGGAGCTATTAGACGACACACTTTCGGGCCGGGCGCGACTACGAGTTTGACTTGCCTGTCGTAAAACCAGCAGCAAGCACAGACGATGTTGAAGCGGAGGGCTTTTCGGATGACGATGAGGATGACGAGCCTCAGGCGGACATTGAGATGGATGCGGACAGGCTAGAAGAGGAAGGAGATGAAGACAACGAGATGGATCTTGTTATACCAGACGCAGACAGCAACGAAGAGGCCGATGATGATTCACAGATGCCAGGATTGACAGAGGGCGATGAAGAGGATGAGGAGGATGAGGTGGAGAGTGATACAGAGGATGAAGATGATGAAGTTACGGGTGGACCGCCGCAGCAGTCGACAGAGACGCCATCCGACCCCATCCCAATTCTCGCTGAAAACCTGTATGGCGCAGACGAGAGTGGCTTTATGCCTGCCGGTAACACCGCGGCAACGTGTTATTGGAGCGGCGAGGACCAAGAGCCAGCACCAGCACAGTGACGGCGGAAGGGAGAACACAACAGTTATCTTGACGATTTCGGCCGATGGACGGTGCAACAAACCTGTCGTGATCTTCAAAGGCAAGGAATTCCGGACAGAGTGGAAGCAAGACGATCCACTCTCGTGCAAGTCAGTGTTTATTGACGATTATTTACTCAGTCTGCTAACGGTGCTGGTTAGCATTACTTATCAGACAAAGGGATGGACAGACACAGAAATCGGACTAGCCTTTATCAAGGACTTTCACGAGCAAACGAAAAGAACGCGCCGCAGGACGCGTGCGGGTGCTTCTCGTTGATGGACACAACTCCCATTACGGGCTTGATTTCTTGCTCTTCGCCCGCCAACACCGCATCCACATCTTGTGCTATCCCGCACATTCAACCCATGTCTACCAAGGTCTTGACGTCGTAATATTTGGGCCGCTGAAAGGCTATTGGACGGAGGAAAAGACACGCTTCCCAGCGCACACTGGGCAAACGATCAAAAAGAGCAATTTCCTCCGCGTCTATGCATGCGCGCATCGACGAGCACTCACCGAGGCAAATATCAAGACAGCATTCCGGAAGACCGGTGTCTGGCCATTTGATCCCTCCGTCATAACCGCAGACATGATGGCACCCAGCATCGAGACGTCCATCCAAGGACATCTTCCCGTTGCGCCGTCTACTCCGATACGCGCTGTTACGACGTACATTGGCAACGTCCATCGGAGCAACAAACGCCGGCGACTTGAAGAAGATTCAGAGCAGGGGTATGAAGCGGGAGGCTCAGCAACACATCCGGCGTACCTTTCGGATATGCTTACAACAATCAGCAACAGCTCGTCCGCATTCCTTGTCTCATCCTCACCCATCCCATCATCTGCCACCCCACCCCGCTTCAATCCAACACTTATATCCCCAAGCAAATCGCGCAAACGACGCTACGCGTCATTGCTTGCAGCCCCACCCGCCACCGAGCGTGAAGAGCAGATGCAAGATGCAATTCAAGAGCTTCTCGGCCAGTTGCGGGAAAGGAAGTCACAGCTTGTGTCGATGCAGTCGAGCCTGGTCCTGAACGGCATGTATTTGGATCGTCTCCGAATGCAGCTGGCAGCGCAGGAGGAGGCTCGGACGATGGCACAGAGGAAGAAGGGACGCCTCGTGGGTGATGGGCTTCCTCGATTGTTGACATCTGTCGAGTTTGTCAGGCGTGTCCAAGACTTCCACGATGCAGCAAAGCAGAAGGAGGCCGAGGCAGCAGTACGCAAGGCCACGAAGGGGGAGCTGAAGAAGCTGATGGATGAGTGGAAGATGCTGGAGGCAGACCGGAAAGAGCAGAATCGCAAGATCAGAGAACTTGTCAAGGCAGAGCTTGCAGAGTGGAAAGCGGAGAAGAAGCAGCTGGGAAGGGGTAAGAATCCTGATTGGCCGAAGCCCTCAACGAAGGGTCGCCTTCTCGATCCGATCCCGAAACCTCAACTTGACTCCACTGAAAACACAGGCTCCGATAGTGAGGAGGACAGTGAAGAGGGGTCAGAGATTGAGTAGAAGGTCTGTAAGCCATCGTTAGAGCCATTTAATTACTATTCCGGGCTGCAATACACAAACTCTGTGTGATTTGCTGTCAGGGGTGTGTTTCCCAAAACGGAAATTTTGCTCGTTGCTCAACAGACACCTTCCAATGCTTCAAATATTATAAAATTCAAGATATAAGATCTTATTAGGTGTATTACTGCCCATACAAATTTGAACAACGATCCGAGACATAGCAGGCAAGCCATCACAGCTGCTGTACCACTGTACCATTGGCCGGTGGATGACTGTAGGCATTAATCAATAAGTGTAAGGAGATGTTTCTATAGCTTCTCAGTGTAATATAAGGCTGTACATACAATTCTCTGCATCTCATTAATGAACTTCCATATTTGGCAAGTATTGTCACATTTGTGACCTGGTACATCTCAGATTCACATATCTAAGTTCTGAACTGTGGACACAAGTTCAATCCTATGGCTATTCTTTCCTTATAGCAGCCATAATGAGTGGCTAGAAATAGCTCAACAGTTTGTGAAAATTATTTCCAGGTGAGTCAATCACATGATCCTGTGAACCAGCTGCCTAAATAGAGCCCTTAAAATTTTTTTAGTGTGTATGTTCCTTAATTTTTTTTCCCTCCCCCTTGGTTTAGCCCAGGAAACAACTATTTTTGTTGATTTTGTTTCGCTCAGTGCATGTCTTAGAGTTGACACTATCAACTTATTGTGCTTAATGACATGGGAGCCTACACAAGGAAAACTAGATGGTCATGAGTTTGGAAGATTTACATAGGTCATTAACACCACAATACTAATACCAGTCATCTGGGAACCCAATAGTATACATACAGTACTAGTATCTGAGTATATATACTCTATACTACAAAATCTTCACTCCCCTGTCCCTGTATATGTATATGGATTATATCAGCCTTTGTGTTGTAACCCAATATATTGAGTACTGTAGTATTTTACTCAATTCGAATGCCAAAAATGGCGTGACATTTGATACGAAAATTTGAGTTCGAATTATTGCCTAATTAGGAAATTCTTGGCGCCGGAGGCGCCCGGAAACGTCATAAATTGCCTTTTTGGGACACAAATTTGAGTAAAACAGTGTGACATGTGAAAAAAATTCGAATTTTATGGCAAGTGTCACACGTGACATGCGAACTGAGTAAAATACTACAGTATTGTATTAAATTAGGTTGGAGCTTTAAAAACAAAGAGGGCAACCTACTAGTAGTACCATTCCTTCATGTGCCATGCAACCCGCAGGAATGGTCTTGGGATGGAGCAACTGCAACACAGGGGCAAGAAACATCTCCCGCTCCAGGTCCGATGGCAGGCGGGGGTCGGAACATGGTGATCGTGAATGAAGAAGTGACAGTGATCCGATCCGCGTGACGCTAACGTGACTTTCATCGATGTGACGTCATATGTGACACAGTTTTTTTCGCGCTTCTTCCCAACTTCTTCCCTGTCCCTCTCACTGCAGGAGTTCGGGAATAAACGGTGCCCCTTTCGATCCATTATACACCTAAAATCAGTGTACCAAAAAAAGAAAATTTTTTATACCTCTATTTGCACCCAAAAGAAATTGTTCCAAATTTGCCTGCTTATATGAGAAATAGATGCTATAAACAGACTCAGTTTTGTCCCCCAGTTTGGGGGCAGATCAAACAGCCTTTTCTAGACCAGTTTTTGTATCAAAACATAAACCTAAAAATATGGTCCAGGGCCCTGATATATATCATATAAGTGAATATATGTGAATATTTTTGGTTCATGTTTTGATACAAAAACTGGTCTAGAAAAGGCTGTTTAATCTGCCCCAAAACCAGTTGACAAAACTGAGTCCGTTTATAGTATCTATTTCTCATATAAGCAGGCATATTTGGAACAATTTCTTTTGGGTGCAAATAGAGGTATAAAAAAATTCTTTTTTTGGTGCATTGATTTTAGGTGTATAATGGATCGAAAGGGGCACTGTTTATTCCCAAACTCCCGCAGTGTCTGCTCAAAAGCGACATCGACGGGGACATAGGAAGCGAATTTCCGTCCTCCGGTTCAATTATCATCTTCATCTGGAACTCGAAGAACTTCCGAAGAACTTGACCGTTTCGCAGTAAGTACCTCCCTCGAGTCTGGAGCTTGGACATCTCCACAGAGTCCACACACTCAACGTCGACTATAGCCAATTATCGATGGATGGACAATCTTACCTAACATGCCCTCTCGTACCTGCATGTGCATGAATTGGAGGATAGGACAGCTGCCAGCATCCCGCTTTGCTAGCCTTCCAAAGCGCTCGATGTGTACACTCCGCTCTGCCGCTGTGGTACTGCAAGTCACTTTTGATGCAGTTATTGAGCGAGAATTGACATTGCAAACCAAACGATGGTATTTTATTGGGCAGAAAAAGAACTAGACAGTAGTATGTGCCCCTTTATCAGCTGGCGGGTTGCTCAACTGCTTAAACAGCTCCCCAACCTTATCATCCAGCATTTTCGCCAAAACACCCTTTAGTTGGTCCTCGCTTATCGCAGGTCCGGGCGCGGGGGCATGGCTTGCCGGCGGCTCCGCCTCGTGCGCCGGATTAGCGCCGTTGGCAGGCTTCCCACCGCCGCCCACGGTCGCGTCGTATTCGTCGTCTGGGATGAAGAAGTTCGTGGGGAGTGTCGCGGGCATAATCGTCGCCGCGTCGGGGTCCGTTTTCTGGATGATATACCCCAGAATCTACGCCTGTCAGTGTTGTATTTCTCCCCGCAACGGCCCACTCACCTGTGGTCCAGGGATTTTAACGATATAGCCGTTGGAGTACGCCTGGAAGCTCGCCGACTCCGAACTCGAGCTGCTGGAGCTGCTTTTCGAGTACGAGAAGCAGAGGAAGCCGCCCGAGGACGCCGAGCTAGCCGCGTCGTTCGCCTTGTTGTCGGCGGTGTTCGTCGTGCTGTGCGTTATGCGGACGACGATGTCCTTGGCGATGATGAAGGCGGTGGGGAAGCCGGGGAGAAGCCCCTTGACCTTCTTTGCGTCGTCGTCAACCCAGGATACGAGGTCATTCACCTGAGAGGTTTTATATCCGGCTGCTGATAGAGCAGAAGATCAACACACCTTGTAGAACGCTGCCGACTCTTTGAAAAATTGGGGTTGGAACCAACCCCCGCGGTCAACGGTGACGAGCGTGGCGCGGAAGGCCAGCTCGATGTTGTCATCCTGCGCGCTCGACGCTGTCGCCGATGCGCCGCTCGAATGGGAGGAAGACCCAGACCCCGAGGCTATCCACAAGTTACACGACCATTGCTCGGACGCTGCGCTAGCATTGCTCGTCGCGAGGTTGGTTCGGCTCTCGTGACTGCTGGTGAACATGATCGTCTGCCATCGGCTGCCGCCTGACGAGCTGTCCGTGGGAAGCTGGAGTGGCGTAGTGGGCACCGCTTCGTTGCTGTGGTCGACCACGGCGGGGGGATTGACTCCGCCCGTGCTCGACGTCAGGGTATGCCACCTCGTGTTCAACTCGTTAAGGTCGTCGGTTAGCGCCTGAATCTGCAGCGAGATTTGTTGTTGCTGCTGCTTTGTGTCTGTCGCCTTCGCTAAGGCCAGGGCGGCGAGCATCTGGGAGAGCGCCCGCGAAGAAGCCGTCAACTGGTCTTGCGCATCTTGCACCGCATTCATCATATTCGGCAAATCGGACAGCACACTGGACGCCATCTGCAGCTTTCCGGCCAAAGTCGCGGTGTCCACTTTCCCCGCAGCGTCCAGACACGTCTTCGCCATTGCGATCACGTTGCTCGAGTACTTCAACGCCAGCGCGCCCTGCGCCTTGTCGAGGGCTGTCTGTGCAGCGTCAACCTTGCCTTGCAACTCGGTCGGGTCGCCCTTCGTGCCCATCTTCAACGCGACCAGCTGTGCATTGAGCGTGTCCAGCTGCTGTGACTTCGCGTTGATCTGCTGGCGGATCACCTCCGGATTCTGCGTCAGATCTTCCATAGTGAACGACGTCGACAGGCCTTCGAACCAGTCCAGCGGCGACAGTTGCACGGGGTACACTTTCATGCTCCCGTCCAGGGACGACATCGCGGCCTCGCGCAGCGAATCTTTCGCGCTCTAGGGTTATGTCAGAGCGGCGAAATAAATGACAGTGCAATTCTCACCTGGAGCGCCTCACCGGGGCTTGCGATGTCCAAATAGCCCATATAATCGTGGACAGCATGGGAGTACCCTCGCACGACTGCGTCGGCGTATTTGGACGCCAACTGAGCTTGACGCGTGGCTGTGATATGCGCCAGCTGCTGTGTGACATCGTTGAGTGCCCGCTGCGACTCGGGCGTGCCCAGATCGGCCTATATGTGGTCGTGAGTCTCAAAGCCAAACAAGCAAGTCTATACGCACCACCGTCGCCTGACGAATCAGAGCATCGCGCTCGACCTCCCAGTCCTGTTTCGCGTACAGGTACTCGTTCATCAGCAACTCGCTCAATTCGATTCGGTTCAGCGTGTCGCCGCTCGCCGTCGCTTTGCTCGAGATGTCGAACATCTTCCCGGGGCCAAGCACAGCAGAAGATGCCCCCGCCGGTGCTGAGCCTGAGCCGCCTAGGGATATGGTCAGACCCTGAAAACAAGCTACAAACAAGCATACCATTAGTGCCACTCCCTCCACTCCCGCTGGCGGCCTTCTTCCCGAGGCCGAGCGCGACCGCATTCGCGAGTGATTGCTCACGCTGCTGCTGCCGCGCCATGATGTCCGTAATCCACTGCGACATCTTCACGTCCTTCAGCAGCCACTGGCGGATTTGGTTCTGCTGCTGCGCGAGGCCGTTGTCAACGTAGCGTGGGAGTAGATTGTTCAGAAGCTGCAAGCCAAATGAGACGAAGCGCAGTTAACTATGCATTCCAGACACACCTGCTCATACACGATCGACAGGTTTGTCCCGTTAGGGCCGCCCACCGTATCGGTCAAGTCGTACAACTGATCAACAAGGCGGAATTCAGCCTCGTTGACTACGGTCGGCTTGACAAACTGCCCGTACACCCCCGCGATGGACGTGTCCCACGCATACGAGCTCTGGTCAAGGAAACGGCCGGGGAACTGCAGGGTGAACATCTGGTTGTTGCCCGGGTCGAAGAACTGCTTCAGCGCCGTGACGAGCTCGAAGAGGAAGCCCGGCGCCTGCGCTGTCGAGGGTCTGCCGACGGCGCTGCCGCCCGGGCCGCCTGCATCGTGCGCGGGGTTGCCCGGATCGACGTCATGTGCTGGGGGAAGAAGCGGGATGTTGGCCAGGCGGCGCGGCTCCGTGCTGAAATATACGGCGAGGTCACTCCGTAGGTCGGCGAAGATACGCAGTCCGGCGTCAGTAGTGAGGCCGGCAGTGAACGCCTGTTGTGCCTTGGTGAAGAGCTCGTCGACCTCATCGGCGTCGAAGGTGAGCTGTTGAAGCGCTGTTTTGAACTGTTGGGCACTCAATGGGTACAGCAGCTACGAGTATTGCGTTAGCAGGTGGGCAAGAGCATACCGCAGGGAACATACATGAAGCGTTATCTGGTCTAGAGACGACGGGGCCGTGTTTAATTTGGTCACGGTTGTAGGAGAGTTTTTGTACGCCTGGTTAGGGTACAGCATGATGCTGTTCGGATCATACTAATGTTTAACGCGTCAATTCATGAGAGAGTAAAAGGGACAAGAACATGCGTACCAGCGTGGCGATGATTTCGTCCGCCGGTCCCAACTTCTTGTCAGGCAGGGCTGTTGGCGAGGTGGGAGACTCCTGTTCATGAATTACTGTAACAACATTAGAAGATGGCGCTGATTATTTCGGAATCGCACGCACAGCCCAGGATATGGCCGACCTCATGATACACTGTGCGCCTCCGCCCTGCCAGCATCTCCGCAAGCGTATACGGCGAGCCCGACGGAGGCGTGAGCTCTGCATCTGAGTCGTGTGGGACCCCGGCAAGCCAGAACGTCGTAAACTCGGGTCCCGGCAGGTGATTAGCGTTGATGTAATCCGCCGTCGCCAACAGATCCGTCTGGTCCGTGCCGATGAACGCCCAGCCGCCGGGTGTGAATGTCTTGCTGGAGTCATACGGATTGGGGCGCCGCAGCGTCGGCGGGCCGAACGACACACGCACGGTCACCTGCTTCTGGTTCACCGGCTGCGAAAAGTCGAGCGCCATGACGCGGTCGTGGTCATCGACCTTGCGGAAGACAACGCCGAGCTGCAGCGTGTTGTAGTAGTCGAACACATCGGTCACCCACTTCTGGCGGTAGGCGGTTGGCTCGGAGTCGCGCTGGGTTGTGGTGTAGTCGGCATGGTGCTTGGCGGCGGCGTTGTACGGCATGAAACCATAGGTGATCACTTTAACTGGGGGCCACAGCATCGTCTTGTAATTCTTTGTGATGCCGTGTTGCGGGCCGGAGGGACCGGTAGTTGTCCCCGTGGAAGGAGTCAGGTCTGCGTGATCGGTGGCGCACCAACCAACAGCGTCGGTGAAAGCGTTCGAAGCAGGCTCTGCTCTGACTGAGCTCAAAGCAGCAAGGGGGAGGGAATTACTCACGTGTAGTGACTCCATCTGGCGAATATGGTAAGCAACGACGGATGACTCAAGAAAAAAAGCGGTACCTAAAGGCTTCGTGCTATCAGCAGGAGTCGTCGGCGTCTCTGCAGGCTTGCCAGAATCTGGAGCGCTAGCGGACGCCGCGCTTGCGCGCGCAGCGATTTGGAACGCGGTAAACAGCTTGCGAACAGTGTCGATGTCGTGCCCCTGGTTAGCAGCAATAATGTCCTTGGTAGTGCTTGCGTCAACGCCAGAGACTTCGAGCGCATGCTCCAAAGTCCACGCCGGGGCTAGGCTGTTGGGGACGGAACGCGGGTAATTCACCACCATGTAGGCCATGTCGAGCGCTGAGAGGTAATAGTTTGGAGGAATATCACGGCCCTGAAGGTTCATCTTGGCCGGCATGAAGTACCTTGTCGGAGTCAGCGACGTCCTTGAGAAATCAGCGGAACAAACATCATGATAGAGGTGGTATCGAGCGCGCTATAGTTGGACACATCCGCGCTGTTGTACACGTCGATGATTTGGGCCTTGATCGTCGCCTTATCCCAGCCTTGCGTGGCCCCGTAGTACGCGTAAACTGCGTCGGTGTCCAGAGTAATCGCGTCGGAGCGCGCCGGGCTTTGATGTCTTGCCGCGTAGGTAAATTAGACAGGGTTAAAGGAGAGTGAGGGTGCTTACTCGTGCATACATCCAAGGACGTGTCCCCACTCGTGCAAGATGACGCCGTGATCATTCTGATTGACAGTGGTATCGTCGGTAACCCAGCCCAAGTTCATGGTCGCAGCGGGGGCAGCGATGCTTTGGTTGACGGTACCGACTGCGTCGAGTTAAGCCTTGCAGAAGAAGGGAGCATAAGAAGGCCAAGTTTACCATAGCTCCAAGAACCCAGCGTAGGATCGAAAGAAATACGAATCTACGGTGTTCAGATCGTCAAGTTGGAGGCTGCATGTGAAAATTCACCGTTCCCTTCCCCACATCAACGAGCTGGAAGACGACATTTGCGTACGAGAGCCTGGAAGGAAGATGAGTGAGATATTTATCTGAAAATAGTATATTGCGCACCATTCAGTAATGACTTTGTTAACTTTGTTACGCTGGTTGACGGTTCCGCCGATGAACGAGTAGGTAATGGTCTGCGAAGCATAAGCACGAGAAAAATAGGGGGGAAAGAGGCGAAGGACTGACACTATTCGGAGGCCAGAGTTGGGCAAGCTTCGTGATTACGGCGTGCGATGGGTCGGTCCCAGCGTCGGCGCCAATGGTACCGATGGTCTTTTCAGCGCTGACGCCGGAGCTGGGCTGCGCAGACGAAATGGCGGCGCACGTGTGCCAGGCGCTGTACTTGGAAGTCATTGAAGTTTGAAGTTCCGAGTGGTTGTGGGTTGGGAGTCGGGGTAGACAATGTCGAGCTGCGACGATACGCGCTATTTGAGTGGCTGGTTACCGAGACAATCGCGTCCGGCGTCTCGCCGCAAATCCCTAGCTGTTAATTTCTCGCACAATAACGACGCAGACACTCGGCACGTACCTTTTGTTAGTTCCGTTGTTTCTATTCTTTCACTGTCATGCACGTTGTCAATAAGTGCGCACTAGTGAAATGAAACAGGAACCGTACCAGGCAATCTGCAAATGTCATCAACCATCAGCAGCGTCGGTGTTTCCCGACGGGGGTAGCGTAAAGCCGATGTACCGGGACGCGCGATGTCTGCAGCGCCCGTATTAATAGCGCGTCGATCTATCATCATGTGCCCCTCTTGCACTGCTCGAACGTTGCGAGAAGGCCAACGCGATCTGTGGAAAGCGACAAGATAGTCTGATGGTGAGGCAATTTGCTTCGGGGTTTCACTCCTCCGGTGTCAGAACAGCATCGACAACATGGCGATCCCCCTCCATTCTCGAAGCGAGAGCACAAAACGCTAGTCGTCAGGTCCATTCAAGTACTAGCGGACCTGGACAGCAGAAAGGGGCGGGAGCGCCGTAGGTCAAGGCCCGGACGAATGGCTTGCGGTCAATATCCATGTTTCGAAGGTCGATATGTGCAGCAGGCCAGCATGGACGTAGTGTCGCAGCGTACGTGGCAGAGCAGGACCACGACGTCGAGGGTCTAGGATGCGACGGTTCGAATGAGCGCCATTGGCCACTGATCCTCCCTGGGGAATCCTGCCGGTGGTTGAAGTCGGTTCGCGGATGAAAACAAGCTGAGGGACGCACTGAAGAGGTGTGCCGACGTGCTTGACCGTATATCCAGCACTGAGCTGGATGCGCGGACTTTTCCCGTCGTCGTCGTGGATGCGATGAGCAAGCGTGAGAACCGTGATCGGCTGCCGGATCGGTGTGACGGAGTGACTGATCATTGCGACAACATTTCGAAGACGGTAGTTAGATGACAAATGTTCTCCTGCACCATAGCTAGTGACGTTGCTTTATGCCAGTGGGGGAGAGGGACAGTAAATCCAAAGCGGATAACTTGAATTTGAAATATTACAAGTACAATCTGGTAATATTTTTATTCTCATATCTTAAGACAAAAGCAATAAAAAATTGAGTGTTTTATTACCAATATAACAAATCATTTTTTTGCGAGCGAAGCGAGCATATCCGGTAAAGCATGTGAGGAACCCAATGCCATTTTCCAACGGTACAATCAATTTTTGATGGGAAACAGAATGTCCTCAAACATGGTCAATTATCCATCTATTGCCATGAAACTTGGTATAATGAATCTCTGAGTAGCCAGGAATATGCTGAAAAAAAATTCAGGCGAAAATACTCAACATTGATTGAGATAGAGAACAATGGACTATGCCACCCTACTATGCACATGATTTGAAGCGAGCTTCTGTCGCTCGCGGGTCCATATTATTTGATCAAACAGTTATGACTCATGAAACAACTGGGACTTAGTTTGTCATACTAACTTAAATGAAGGTAATTGTTAGCTAGCTATCTAAATTGTTTTAAAAGAGGTCAAAGCCTTTTTCTGTTCATTGTAATATCCCCTAACCCTAAATATCGATATTATGTTAAGAATTCACTGCCCAATCACATAAATGTTGTAAGGGGGTTACAAATGGTGTCTCCACCAGTTCACTTATGCAGCCACACATAGTACATCATAGATCACAATAAGGGTGAGGCTGAGTGAGGGTTCAGGACTTAAATAGGGATTTAATCCTTGTTTTGAAACTTGAAACAGCTGTTTCAAAACAAGGTTTTTAATTGTCCTTGAAAAATTGCTTGTTTTACAACCAGACAGCAGAAGCAAGGGGTGCCATTATTTGAAAGACAGGTATACCATCAATGTCAGGGGAACCTCCCCTTCAGCCCCCAAAAATGTACACAAGGGGGAGGGGAAAAAATTGAGGAACGTATGCACTCAAAAAATTTAAGGGCTTACAGCCGGACTAACCGACCGTAACATGGGTGACAATTGCCTATTTGAGCAGGTATTTCACAGGATCATATTGTAATGTGATCGAATATATCAGATACCTAGGCCTGCTACTGTATCAATTTATTTAATTTGATGGTCACATATCACACTAGACTTCCAGTGTGTCCCAACTTCTTATTCACATACCAAATATCAGAATGTCATTGTATCAGCACCAATGCCCATGGTTTTTCAAGGCCAAATTGAACAAATTGTTACAGTATTCAATGTCAAACCCTGGGTTCAAAAACCCTTTTTCTTCGCCCTTTAAACATTTTATTTTGGCCCTGGTTGATAAGATAAAACAAGGAGGAGATAAGATGGACGATAAGATGGTGATTGGATCATCAGATGTCGATGCTGATGTTTATTGACAGTGTGGAGTTGGACATGAGACAAACAGCACGTAAAGGCATGGCTAGAGTATGATGTCATTGCCTCTCGTATTAGGCATGGTAAACACATGGTAGTAGTGTATATAAGTAAAGTAGATTTCGCCTTGTACCCCAGTCTTCAAATTCCATTATCTTTACGATATCTTTTCACGGTGCTTCTTGCTTGCCTTCACTGGCCAACTGGCATCCTCTGAATTGGTGTTGTTTGTGACATTCAATGCCCTACCCTCACCAAAACACAGGCTATTGTCCAGAAAGTGCTGCCAGAAATTAGCTAGATTAGAGGTTATTAGCAACTTCAGATTTAACAAAATTTAGAAAGAAGATGGCAGCAAAAAAGATTTAGAATTGGGAGCAGGTCCCACTTTCCTACCATTCCTCCCTGCCTGAGTCCATCCATCCAAGCCCTATCTTGTACCATCTATGGTGCCGCCGGCCTGATGGCCTCCAAATCGGGACAAGGCGATGAGCTCGATGTCTGATAAAGATATGTCTTATTCCTCTTATGAAAGTCATTGTATTAGACCTATAAACAACCCTGTTAGAGGGTTTGCCCTCAAACCCACGGGGTAAAATTTTAAGGTTTTCAAATTGAGCGGGCTTATATAAGCAACACGTGACGCGCACACGTGACTGGCTGACGGTGACTCGCAACATGTTTCCGACGCAAGATATATATTATTTAAGCATCAAATTGACGTGCTAAGGTCTCCGGAACACGACGGTGGGACTTATACTTGTGTGAGCTAAATTGACGCACCCGTGCCTGTGCATCTTTGCACCCCAAGCCACCATTATATGCATCAATCCACCGCCATGTTCGGTGCTCCCATCGTCGAATCGTGTCCACTAAAACACAGTCCAGTGCCTCCTCGAAATGCTTCTTCAGCCCTTCAAAGATGTAGTCGCAAGTATCTCGCAGCCGCTTCTTGACTGCACCCCAGAAGAACTCAATAAAATTGAGCTCGCAGTGGTACTTCGGGAGGAAGATGCAGAGATCTCCCGCAGCCTCAATCGTCTCTTGGACGAGAGACCGTTGAGCAGCAAAGTCTGGCTGTGTCTCGAGCATGCGGCGACAGCAGCAGTCATGACGGTCAGATGATCCGCAAGGTGTTTTGCACTCACGAAGCAAGCCTGAGCGCCACAGCCCCCGTTCCTGCAGAACGACACGCATTCCCTTGGGCTGGTTTCGGAAGCGCTGGGTCAGGATGATTTGCCAGAAAGATCATCGGCTGTTCGATGCGTTGACCATGTGAATTAAGATACCATCCACTGCGCAGATGTGCCTGCTTGCGGCCCGAGTTGAGGTTCATGCGCTGGGCAAGCAGTGCGTCCACAGAGTATGCTGAGTGGCCTTGTGAGTTGTCGATCAAGAAGAGGGCCTGATAACCAGGCCCGTGTTCGTTCTCGAAGGCAGGAATAATCTTCTCTTTGAGCTGTGTCTGTTTGTGAGCAAGCGATAACAAGTCGGGAGACCACTGACCTGATTCACAAACATCTCCCCATTCCAATACCCATCATAATTCTTCCCTTCCATTGTCTGCCCCGCCGCTCTCAGATGCCCACAGGTTGACGCGATTGCACCACTGTAATGCATACCACGTCCCTTGCCCTTCTTTCGCAGCGGCTGCTCTCCCTCGGGACCCCAGCTCTTTGATTTCCCATCGTGGGCCTGTGTTGTAACCTCGTCATGCGCACAGAGAACAAGGGCTCGCTCTGGTGTCCATCTTGCGGCACCTTTATCAACCAAGCGGTTGATATCGCCAACGACATATTCGACCAAGCGTGGTTTGTGTCGGAGCATCACTGGAATGAACTCCTTCTGGCGATAATCCACAACGTCGGGGCACTCGTGCCCGTCGTAATAAAGTGCCTTCTTGTGCTCTTGGTACTTCCAGCCAAACTTGGCCATCCATTCGCGTGCCATCGAGAGCAAGATCGAGTGCCCGAGGCCGGCCTTGACGCCAATGCGGGGAAACAATGTGGTCGTCACATACTTTCCCAAGGCCTTCGGGATTTCGTCCTCCACAACATGACAAAGGAATTCCTTGGCTTCGGGAGACACAAATTGTGTTCTGACAAACTCAGACAGTTTGGCTGGATCGGTCGCCCATTTGTTGGATCGCAGATACGACAGGCCACCTCTCCACGTTGTGATTTCATCATCGGTCTCTGCCCCCAACTCGCTCCCAGAGTCAGCAAGAATGTCGATGGCGTCCGGCTCGTGTGTTTGAGGGTGTCGTTTAGCACGAGCAGCGGCAGCATTTCGTAGGTATCGTTTCCGTAGACGTGTTGGCATAGTAGAGGAAGAAGAGGAAAAGAAAATTTAATTTCACTAGTCTATGTACAGACTGGCACTGCAAATCCTTGAGCAAAAAATTAGTCCGCCTCGGGATTGAGCGGCTTAGTCAGCTATTAGTCAGCTGTCCCGATTTGGAGGCCATCAGGCCGGCGGCACCATAAAACACTATAAAGCTCAAAAGCTTGAGGTTAAGACTCAACACCGTTTAGGGATGCCGGCCAGGCCTGTAGTGATGGCTTGACGGCAGCCGTCAATGGGTACCTATTGCCATGCCATTGGCACTTTGGAGGTATCCTACTCACGGGACAGTTACCGTTCGGTTTGAAACTGTACTAGTACTGACCATTGAAATATGGCCGTCACAGCAGTTGCTACAGCTCGATGATGATTACACTGATTATGCAGATCTGCTGCAGGTCTGTCATCAAGCACCATGCTGTGCCAAGCTATGTGAAGGTGGTGATCAGTGATGGATGTTGAGCTATGCTGAGGCCCCTTTGGGTAACACTCCGACGAGCTCCAAAGGATGATGAGCCATGCTTGTGTCGCGATGGGGGCCCAATGATGGCCTGGATGTCATGTTGGAATGCAACGCACGAGCATCTACCTGATAGTAAGCCTCTTATGGAGCAGATCTATGGTGAAAAAAAAAAACAGTTACAAACCCTATTTAGTTACATCACTCTGATGGACCATCCCATAACCGTGATGGCCATCCTGTTGACCGTCCCATGCCGTCGGAAATCTGGAAAAGGCCTTTGACAGCTGCTATTAAATTGATGGCCATTGCCGCTACAGCAATGAGTGGCATCTCTAACACCGTTGTCCTCAGAGTGAGCCAAAAAGTATGACAGCAGGCTACACTGGAAATTTTTGACAAGTTGATAGCCTGCAAATAGAAAGAAAAAAAAATGTTTTTTGCTGCAGCTAATAAACTGTATTTTAATGAATGGGTAGTTTATGATGACTGTTTAACATTGTATGATGATGTACCCATGGGTTAGTGGGTTGCTGACTTGGGTACACAAGCCTAGGCCTACCCATGCCATTGCCTATGGACCTTTTGCCTAACACTGTTGGGATGCACTATGCTGATTATATAGTTGGAATATAATATATTACTCCCTTAGGCCAACATAATCATATTTGGCCAACAATCCCTGATATACAGGTGTTTGAAGCTCAGAAGACAAAAAACTCCAATCTATGTGCAAGTTTCAAACATTGTCTTTTCTTTTCGGTCGCCGCGGCCAGCGGAAAAACTGTGATCATGGGCTGAAACGCCGTGAGTGTGCGGATCAGAACGAGCCGACGCCACGCACACACTTATAGCGGGACGTGCTGCACAGAAGATGCACCCCATCAATGATGAGCGCCGAGGAAATCAGGAAGATTTCTTGATGCTGTCATTGCTGATCCACTCCCGCCTTTCCTCTCTTCCTCTTCCCATCCCCCTCCATCCCCTCCTCGATGCGCCGCATCGTTGTCGATGACACCTCCGCCCTGATACAGTATAGCAACGGCGGGTGGTCCGCCGCAGACGTCGGTGCGCTAAACCGGCTGGGCAACTTCGGGCCCGTCTACCGTGGGACAACACACCAGACGAGCACGGACGGCGCACAGCTGCGCTTCCCCTTCACAGGGACGTCCGTCGCGGCGTTCGGGACGATTTCCGTCAGCAAGCTGCCCGACGGGACATACGACCCGCGGTGGGAGTGCGTCGTCGATGGCAAGAGCGTCACAATGGGCGACGCGACATTCGCCTATGCAGAGAACAACTGGCCGCTGTGTCATGCGGACAGCCTCCCCGCGGGCCAGCACGAGCTCACGATCACGGTCCACAGCAAGGGCCGCCCGTTTTATGTGGACAACATATACTACGAGCCGCTGCAAGACGGGAGCAGCGTGGACGGCGCGGTGGTGGAGTACACGAGCAAGGATCCGAGTGTGGGTTATGGCTCCGGATGGCAGGGCTGGGGAACGCAGACGGTGACCACAACCGCGGGGTCGCAGGTCACGCTCGACTTTCACGGTGCGCTATCTATGTTTTCATAGAGAAAAGCTCACAAGGCGGCAGGCACGGAAGTGTCCTTATTTGGCTACGTCCCGCAAGAACTGGCACACGACGCCACCACCGCGGCGTACACCATCGATGGCGGGCCCGCGACCTCGTTCGGGCTCGCCGGCCTTGCAGCGGGCAGTACCACCACTGTCTACAACGTGGCGATCCTCTCCGTCACCGGCCTCTCCCCTGCGAACCACAAACTCGTCGTCACATACAACGGCGACCGCAGTCACACCCCCGCTTCCCGTCGGCTCATTCTTTGTCACCAACTCTGTGATCTCCGCACCGCCCCCTCCCCCTCCACCCCCACCTCCCTCCGACGGATCACAGTCCACTAAGCCAAGTGCAGGCAGCACCACCCCATCGGCTCCCAGCGGCAGCACTCTGCCACCCGCCCCGTCTATTCCCCGGGCCGGTATCATCGGGCCTTCCTCCCAAAACTTCGTCTTTAGCGCTACCGCCGATGCCGCGCGCTCGAGCGGCTCCCCCGCCGTCTTCGCCGCGGCCAAGTCCTCGCCGCTGGCCGCGATACTCGGCGGTGTAATCGGCGCCCTCTTCCTCCTCGCGCTAGCTGTCTTCTTGCTTTTCTTCTGCCGCCGTCGCCGTCGCCGAATGGCCAGCGAGGCACACGGAAGCCGGCCAGACGCGTTCATACGCCCCGACCCGTTCATGCACCAGCGCGAGACCGCCACGCTCGTGGGCAGCGCACCGGGGAATAAGGGCCTCCAGCCGCTGCGGCGCTTTGGCGATGTGAGCCCGTCGCAGACCCCCATCAGCTCGGACTTCAACACCAGGAGTGAGACACCGTCCACGCCCGAAGCCGACGATCCTTTTAACCCCCCTGCGGCTACTAGTACCACACCGGCACCGGCTGCACATCGCCAGATGCGTGTACACCAGTCACCGCCGTCCTCAAAAGCGCACTCCGGCTACACCAGCAACACCACTTACAGCCAAAACTATACCCAGCCTCGGGCCCAGCGCAAGCTCCCCCCCGCACCACCGCCCGCCGTCCAGCAGCACCTCGACAGCGGTGTGCGCTACCCATATGACGCGGCGTCGGTCCTGGACGTTCCGCCGGGGTACAGCCCGCACTAGCACACCGCGGATTTATTTATAATTATTGGCCCGTCTGCGCCTCGCACTCATTTATCGCGTCACCGTGCGCACGCCCTTCATTTTGTTTTATAAATTCAATGTTCTTCCTGTACATACCATAAAATCTATGATCAATCAACCGTCCCAAAGTGTCCTAATTGGGAAGATTTTCAAATTTTCCGGGCCTGCAAATTTTCTAATCAGGTAATACATATTTTAATTAATTCATTAGGCCCTTTGGGCTGTGACATTGTTGATAAAGTTCAGAATTTATCAACTAATCCCCATTAGGCTGGAAATTGTAAAAAATCAACCGATTTGCTGTAAGGGCAACCCCGGAGGCCTGAGATCAAGGTCTAGCAGGGGAGGATCCAAAGCGTGAACATTGGTAAGCGAATACAAATGAAGCTGACCTAGCAGGGGAGGATCCAAAGAGAAGAAACTCTAAGGGTCCGCCTGCTAGGTAGCTGACTACATACTGCTTGTCCGTAGCTGCCGCTGTCGGGCACAGAGGGCTTGGGCGGCGTCGCAGGCGAGGTCCCAGGGCGACCGTCGGGAGGGCGTTGATGGATCGGTGATTGTGCGGGCGAGATGGAGGGCCGGACCGGAGTCGGAACCGGAGTCGGACCGGAATCGGGCGCGTCTCCGGGCCGAAAGGGAGGTTCCCCTGACATCACCCCCCCCTTTGAATGCGGCGTCTCGACGCATAGACCGGAACGGAATCGAGTCGAAGGTCGCGGAGGCGATGTGTCGTGGCTTGCCAGGGTACTTACGGTAGAACTCCGCGATTTTCTCCGGGGCAAAGACGCGGTCGAAGCGGACCCACTGGTCGTGGACGCGTCGTAGCCTTTCCATCTGACGGTAATTCAGCCGTTTATACCTCACCCTTGCGTCCAAGATTTCCTCTACTTCCCACTCCGGGACTCCGTCCTCGAGGTCCGGAGGGGGCTGGTCGTAGCCGGGGCGTCCGTCGAAGGGGTCGTCCTGGGCGAGCTCGAGCTTGACGACGGGGAAGACTGGGTGGAGCTTCGAGTAGCGCAGAGGGAGGTCGAGCTTGTAGGCACCTTTGCTGACCTCCGCGACTATCTTGAACGGTCCAAGGTGGCGATGGGAGAACTTTTCCGAGGGGCGAGTCGTCCTGATGTCAGAGGCATCCAGCCAAACACGGTCGCCAACCTTAAACTCCGGAGACGGAGTGCGTCTCCGGTCGTAGTAGCGCTTGTACTCCTCTTTGGCCTTAGTGAGCGCGGCCTTGGCTTCAGCAACACCAGTGGCGATCCGGTCGCGGAGCTCGTTCACCGACTCCATGGCGGAACGGACTCCGGGTTCGAAGCCCATGCGCGGGAGCCGTCCCGTGTCCGTCATGAAGGGGACCTGCTGCGTGGAGGAGTGGACGTGGTTGTTGTAGGCGAACTCCGCGGCCGGAATCAGCTCATCCCAGTCGTCCTGCTGGTAGTTGGTGAAGATCCGCAAGTACTGCTCCAGCTCCTGGTTGACGCGCTCTGTCTGACCGTCTGTCTGCGGGTGGTACGCGGTGGACGTGGCGGGCTTGATGCCGATTAGACGCCAAAGTTCTCGGGTGAAGTCCGCGATGAACTGCGAGCCGCGGTCGGAGACGTACCTCTCCGGAGTCCCATGGTGCCGCCAGACATTCCGGTAGTAGAGGCGGGCTGCCCCTACTGCATCGACCGTCGTATGACACTCTGAGAAGTGGGCGCTTTCCGAGGGTGTCAACGGCGACCATGATCGCATCGTACCCATGGGCTTCGGGAAGCTCTACGATGAAGTCGACGGAGACGGTATGCCAGCGTTCCGGGGGCGTTTCCGTGGGGTGCAGTTCTCCGTGGGGCAGTCTCCGGAGTGCCTTGGTGCGACAGCACAAGTCACAGGTCGCAACATACCGGCCGATATGGCGAGACATCTGAGGCCACCAGTAGTTCCGGGAGACCAACTCCAGGGTCTTGAAACGACCTGCGTGTCCGGCGACTCGGGTGTCATGGCAGAGCTCGATGATGCGTCTCCGGAGGTCCTTGTCCTTTGGTACGACGATCTTTCCTCGGAAATGGAGAAGACCGCCGGAGACGGCCCACTCGTCAGAACGTGAGGAGCGGGGGCCTCGAGCTTGACCTTGAACCTTAAGAAGTTGCCGGGCCGCTAGTGCGACGGGCTCCTCCAGGTCAGGCTCACCGGAGAGGGCATCACGGATGTCGCGGAGGAGTTCAGAGCCGGGACCGGAAACGGAAACGCCCTCGAGTGCGCGGACGTGGAAGAGGAGGATGAGGTCCTGAAAAATGTCATTCATCATCGTTTGGAACGTCGCCGGGGGAGTTTGTCAGGCCGAAATACATCACCAAGGGCTCGAACAGGCCTCGGTTAGTCCGGAAAGCCGCTTTCCACTCGTCACCTTCCTTGATCCGGACGTTGTTGAAGCCCCAACGGACGTCGAGTTTGGTGAAGTAACGAGCGTCTTTGAGCCGGTTGATGAGGTCGTTGATCAGCGGAAGGGGGTACCGGTTTTTGACAGTCATCGCGTTGAGAGCACGGTAGTCCTGAACGAAGCGGAGTCCGCCGTCCGTCTTCTTGACGAAGAAGACCGGAGACGCCATCGGAGACTTGGAGGGGCGAATCCGGCCCGTCGAAAGCCCTTCCTCGATGAACGCGTCGAGCTCGCGTTGCTCGAGGGGCGAGATGGGGTACACCTTGCAGTTGGTGGGCTTAGCGTCGGGGACGAGTTCAATGGCGTGGTCCCAGGCTCTCCGTTCCGGTAGCGTATCGAAGGACTCCTTGTTGAAGACGTCCTGGAACTCCTTAGCCCAGTCCGGGATCTCGGAGGGCGGAGGGGCGGAGTTCCTGGCGAAGGCTTCGGCCAGGCGTTGCGAGACAGTACTGCCAGCGCGTATCTCCTCCGAGGGGCGGAACGAGGTGTAGAAGATGCGGTCACCATCTTCAAGCTGACCATCGTCATCGTCGTCGTCGGAGTCCGGCGGCAGATCAGGCAGGTCGGAATCGAGACCGGAATCGGAATCGTCTCCGTCCTCAGGGCCAGAGAGGTCCATAGTGCAAACCGAGGGGAACGGGCCGGAGCGGAGACGCTTCTGAAGCGACCGGAGTCGCCGCAACTCGGTCCATTCGACGCGCTCTTCCTCACGGCAGGTCGAGCAGTTGCGGGGGAACCGTGTCATCTTGACCTCCTTGGTTTCCCAATTGATCTCTGGGTTATGTTTCCGCAACCAGGAATACCCCAGGATGAGGTCTTGCTTGCCAAGATGGGTGACGGCCAGCTGAACTCGTTCGGCATGGCCCTTGTAGCGCAGGACCAAGTCCGCGATCTGTTTGTTGGAGCCAGCGTCATTGGGGGTGCCATCGACATTGAAAACCGGAACCGGCTGATCGAGGGTGGGGACCGGAATGCCATTCCGAGCAACATAGTTCGTGTCAATGAAGTCGGAGGTGGCACCACAGTCGACAAGCCCAGAGAGTGAGAGCTTCAGCGCGCTGGTGGTGGACTCCACCTGTAGTTGTGCACATTTGACAACTGCACTGAGTGCACTGAGTCAACCTGGTGTCAAATCCACCAGCTCCACTGAGGCCTGAGTGCAGTTAGTGCATTTGTCTTCTGTTCCCCTATAAGACTGATCAAACTTTGATATAACATCAGTATTAATAATTATTATACTTAATAAATGAATGTTAAGTTCCTTTTCTTCAGGCCGAAGACCCGTTATATAATTTGGAAGACTATATATATAGAAAATAATTAATAGTCCCAATTTGGACAGAAATGATGTAGCTGGTTACAATCATCAAAACTTGTGATGGCCATCAAAAATGTTTCCACATTGATGACATTATATAAATGCCATCAGTTACATGATCAATTACCATAATAGTAGTCTTAAATAAATAGAATAAGCCTTTAAAGGAATGTGACATATGTGACAAAAAGCCCTGATTCATCATACAAAGAGGCAAAACGATTTATAGACGCGAACGAGGGCACACCAGTCACTCGTCGCGGGGGACAAAATCCTCTCCGGCCATCGACTCCGCTGCCGTCTCCGGCAGGGCAGCTGTGTCCGTGTAGCGGGCGATCAACTCCGCTAACATCTCGTCACCAAGTTGTTGGATCACCTCGTCGAGGATGTCCATCGAGCGGACATCGGCGGGGAGGGGGCAATCCCGGGCGAGATGGTTTGGGTCGCCACACCTGAAGCAGGCGCGACGAGGGGCACCCCGAGCCCTGGTGCGGTCCAACTCCATAGGGACGGGAGCTGGAGGCGCCGGAGCGGGGACGCGGGCCGCGGGTGGCACGACCGGAGCCACCGGGCGGAAAGGGGCCGGAGCCGGGATGCGGTTGACTGGAAACGGAGTCCAAATCAAACCGCCAGGCGTCTTGGGGGCGGCTGACTTGATCAGCTTGGCCCGGACCAGGGCCTCGTATTGACGGAAGGCCCGGGTGCGCCAGCTAAGGTAATCCCGGAGGTCCGGGGGGTCGTTCGAGGACGTGATTCCGTTGTTGATCAAGGGTCAAGTCCGTGGCGGAACTTGGTCACCTTGACCAGCGCGTCTTCGAATCCGGCGAGGTCCATCAGGTCCTCGAAGTCGTCGGTGTACTGGTAGACATCCTTTGTACCCATGTGATAGGCGGAAGTCTCCAGTTTGGAGAGAGCGTGATCTTGCTCGTTCTCCTCGACGAACCGGAGTCGAAACTCGGAAACGAACGAGCCCCAGGACGGAAACGGAAACGGGGCTTTGCTTCCGTGGCGCTCCGCCCATTGCTGAGCGGGTCCTTCTGCCATAAACGACATGGCATAGCGGACAGCCCTTTTCCTCGCTCGCCTCTCCGTTGACCACGAAGGCCTCAGGGGCAAGGCGGGCGTAGGTGCGGACCGCGTAGAGGAACGCGCGGCCGCGTTTCCGATCGCCGTTGAAGGTGAACGGAGGGTTTGGTCACAAGACCAATTTTGAGGCGAGGTTGATGTCGCCAAAGAGGGCCTCGG